TGTAAAGAGATTTGGTGATGGTTGACATGAAGCGCAAATAATATGTGGAAATATGAAAAACCGAGTGAGCGTTAAAAGAATAGAATGAATGGGTAAACTATGATACAGTGAAATTTTATAGAGGTTGTGATGATATATAACGGGAATAGGAAAAGGGGTGTTGTTGGAGTTAATGATAATGCATATAGTGACAATAAAGGTAGAGATAATAAAACAACTAATAAAATCATGGTGTTATTAATAATAATAATAATACATATAATAATAAAAATAACAATAATAGTAATAATAATAATAGCTCTAACAATGATTGTTATTATGATATTGAGACTAATAATAATAGCAATAATTTGACGGTATCGATAATGATTTAGTGATGATTGATATAAACAGAAGAAGAACATTTTCAAAAACATATAATATTTGTAGGTAAACAATTGTTAATTTGTGACGTAATGTATGATTAATTAATTGTTTGGGGGACAATCGTAGAGATGTGTGGTTAAATATAGGGAAGGTGCTGAAAGGAGAAAATGTTGTGAAATACGTGATGGAAAAGATGTGGGATTTGAATTTAGTGGGATGTGGAGGGTTCTTGGATGGTCTTTAACAACTCCTGAATATGAGGGTGGTTTACATTGTACCATTTCTTATTTGCGCCGGTTCCGATTCTGATATTTGCGTCGACGGCTAATGCGTGTGTTCCTGCACTTCTCAATTGGCTGGCTACGTTGACTGTGTGTTGGTAGATTCGCCGTTGTTCGCTTGTAGGGTCGGTTCGAATCAGTATTTTCTTGCCGTGTGGTCGAAATTGTTTGTTTAAACGATGTTTAGACGTTTGGAGTTTATTAAATTTTTCGACGTCGTTGAATCTGAGGAGTATGTATGGATTTGCTACATTCGTCACCCAGTGAAGGATATTGTACTTGGTCTCCTCGACTTCCTGTTGATCCCATCCGAGTCCTTCTGTTAGCAATCTTTTCATTAATTGAGCTGGTCGAGTGATTTTTGTGGACGTGGTCTGGTCGCTGTTGTGTACGATTTCCTTACAATTTTCGTACAAGAAGCCGTAGATCCGTACGTTATATTTTCTTTGTGCCCGGTCGATGTTTTCGATGCGGGTCGAATTTTGGTTTATAATTTGTTGCTGAGAAGACAATATTGCTTTTATACTCGCTAGTTCGGAATCGACGTTTTCCTGTAAATAAGCATATGAAGTGGAGTTGGCTATATTTGGAATGTGTTTAATTGGAATGGGGATTGAACCGTTTTTTTGTATTGGTAATATGTCCAGGTCTATAAAAGTAGAAAACCCAAAAGGTTTTCTGGGATTTATTGGGTAATCAAAAATTACCCGGTATAGCATACCAAAGGTACGCCAGAGAGGAGAGCCCAGAAGGTTCTCATGAATTCAATGGGTAATTAGAAATTACCCGATATGAGAGATGAGAGTATAGTGTGGAGTAGTTAATTTGTATATGAAAATGGGTGAAGTGTGTGGTGTGTATTTTGTAATGTGTGTATGTGGTGTGTATGGTATGTAGGTGTAAATAAATGTGTGGGATAAATGGTATTGGGTAGCATACCAGAGGTATGCAAAAGGAGAGAACCCAAAGGGTTCTCTAAAATTCAATGGGTAATCAAAAATTACCCGATATAGCATACCAAAGGTATGCCAAAAGAGAGAGCCCAGAGGGTTCTCACGAATTCAATGGGTAATCAGAAATTACTGGATATTAGAGATGAGAATATAATGTGGAGTAGTTAATTTGTATATGTAAACTTGTTAAGTGTGTGGTGTGTACTTTTTTAATGAGTTTATGTGGTGTGTATGGTATGTAGGTGTAAATAAATGTGTGGGATCAATGGTGTAATTAAACAGGAAAATTTTAATATGGTAGAGGTATTGTACAAAAATATGATTGAAAAGAGATATATTGTGGTTGATATGTGGAGGATTTTTAAGGTGAGTAGATTGAGCGGCAGTGTGTGTGATTAAATTTTGCTGAAGAACGCATTAGGAATAGAGACAGGTGTAGTGCGAGGTAACTGAGTTACCCATAAGGGATGAGAGGTATGCGATATCGAGAAGAAAGAAGTTGTTAAGAAAGACAACGGGATTCGATACACAGAGACGGCTGATGCCGGTCATCATGTGCATGGTCCCGGAATCATATGTAACAAAGTAAAGGAAAATTGTTAATTAGGAACATTGGATAGTTTCATTGAGTGAAAAGATAAATAGAGATATGGAAGAAGTTGTGAAAACTGCATAGAAAGAATATGTTATCAAGTGGGAGTTCATGTTTCGGCCCTTAGTCGTTGACATGTTCTCCCAGGTTATGCACGGGCCATCGTCAGAACGATATGCATAACCTTGAAGGAAAGACTGTTTCAAAAATTTAGAAAGTATATTTAGAAGGTTTTGTAGAATTGGAGAATTTTGGAAGATGACGATGTTGTGGAGTGGATTGAGACCTAGCACAGAGACGAGAAAGTAGAGATGTGCAATGGTTAGTAATATGGGAAGTAGACATACCTGAGTGTTGTTGTTGCCCTCTTGGATTCGTGCCCTTTTATTTTTCGGTGAGAGGAACTCCGAAATAGTTTTTGAATTCATTGTTGTTGAAGAATTGCCTGTTTCTGCAAAAGCATGTTGCAAATAAATCGATTCATTTATAATAATAGTGTAATCGCGTAGATTGAGTATTAATAACGCGGTTAAATTTTATTAGTAATAAATAGTAATGGTACTGAAAACAGTTAGAAAAGTTGGTTACGATTAAAGTTGGGTACTTTACGAAACGAAATAAATGTGTATGAATGAGGTGCGCGTTGGTTGAGTGAGCAGTATTGTAGAATAGCGCCAAGTGTCTTGTCGTGCACATGCAGTACGGTAATGTTATGCCGCCAATTTAAAAAGGTGACTATGTTATATGATCAATGATCTGTAATGCAAGTTTTTTAATATTACCTGCATTGGGGTATATATATTTAATAAGTAAATGTTTATTTTTTATAAGGGTATTTTTCACGATTCTATGTAATGTGTTATTAGAAATACCTTTTTTATAATAGATGGTGGATAATGTAATGCAATTGTGAATGAAGTGTTGCAGATTGCTGCATATGTAAGCATATCTTGCAATTTGCGATGAAATGATGTTTTTATGTATGGAATCACTGATATTACTGTCTAAGCTAGCGAATTTGTTCACTTTAAAGTTAAAGAAGGTTGTTTTATCGTAAACGTTGGTTTGAATAATACCATTTCTTATGGTAATATTAATATCTAAAAAATTGACGTTATCACTGTTAGGTGTAATGTCCAGTTCTAACTCGTTGCCGTATATGCTTTTAGCTTTATTAACGAAGTTGTTTTCGTTGAAAATTAAAATATCGTCTACGTATCGTATAATGTTAATGGTGTTGCGAGGTATTTTGCTATAAATGTGTTCCATTGCTGAAAGAGTAAGGTCTGCAATATCGGAACTGGCGTTACCTCCCATGGGAACACCTTGTATTTGTTTGAAGATGTGTCCTGCGAAAATTACGTAGCTCTCGTTAAGTACGGTTTTAATTATTGAGTATAATTCCGTACTATCGAAGGAAATGTTGTGTTTGTTGTAGTGTAATTGATCGGTATAGTTAATATAATTGTTATGTATTCTAATATAAGTTTTTTTAGAATTGTTGTAACAGATGTGTATAATGTGTGAAAGGGATTTAAAAATAAGGTCGTGCGGAAGACGGGTGAACAAGGTGGTAAAGTCCGCAGTAGCAACAGTGTGTATTTTAATGTGCGGACTGCGAATAATGTTAATTGCGGAGTAAGTGTTGTCAACGCTGTAGTAACATTTCTTATTAAGGTTAGTTTGTGAAATTCTGCAGTAATTTTGAAAATGTATTTTTATGAAACATAGAATTTTGTGGAGTAAGATTTGTAGAGGTTTTATGGATGAAGTATTGGCTCCGGCAATGTACCTGAATTTGATGGGATTTTTGTGTAGTTTAGGTATGGCGAATATTTTGGGTAATTTTTGGTTTTCAGGACTTACTTCAAGGAAGTATTTTTTGCATATTGTTATGTGATGCTGTACAATGTCGTTAATGGATGAATTGGTAAGAGTTTTGTAAGTGTTATTGCCTGTAGGGATATTGTGTGCAATACCGAGTTCTTTACATATTGATTGGATGTAAAATTTTTTGCATATGAATACGTAGTTATTGGAAGCTTTGTCAACAGGAGTACAAACGTATTTAGCATTGATTTGGTTAAGTAAGTTTTTAGGTATAGGTGAATAGTTGAATATAGTGTGGGTATTGCTTTTTCTGTATTCATTGTTGAAAATGTGTGAAAATTTCTGGAAGAGAAGTCGTTTAACGTTAGAGATGTGTAGTTGACTAATGCCGGCTTTTTGGGGGAGTTTAATGAAAAGGTTGTTTATAGAAGTGTGAATGTTGGTATTAATTTGATCTATGTTTAGATTGTGCGTAGGTCTGAATTTTGTGCCTTTCTTGAGAAGTTGTATAATACGTCCTTGTTTTAGTAATTTAAGGTTACCGGTTATGATGTGCTGATGGTAACTGTCGACGAAAGGGGATTGCATACAGTTGCAGGGTGAGCTGATAATGTGTTGCAAATCGTTGGGGTTGTTGTTGAGGTGTGTTAAAATTTGGCTGTAATTGAATATTTTTTGGCTTATGGGAGGGTCATATTTAAAAGTAACGTGTATTTTGACGGGGTGGCATAGAACAGAGTTGATTTTGTTGATGATATGTTTGTCTTTGAAGAACCTATGGTAGTTAATGTTATCGTAATATTTTCCTGGATATTGCAAAATAAATCTGTAGGGCTTGTTTTTGGTATTGATTGCCTGTTTGGTTTGGTAGCGTGTTTTACTTAAAATATAGTTGATTAAAAGTATGCGTAATTCCGGTATAATATTGTTATTGTTGTCATTGAGGTGATTGTATAAAATGTGAAGGGTTTTGTTACTACATTTGTAAAGGTTAAAAAGTAGTGTTTTTATGTTGTGGTTGTCAGTAAAAGTATATTTGTTGTGGAGTAGTTCATTAATAAATTGATAATTAATTATTTTGCTGCATCTTCTTCGTTTTCCATGCGAGTGATGTTTGATTAACTGAAAGTTCTGAAAATATGGTATTGGTTTTGTATAAATGTAATCGTGTATTAAATGTGATACGTTACCAATTCCTTTAATATTATCATTGAGACCAAGTGGATAGGTGGTTTTTAGAAGGGAGATCCAGAACAACTCAGCAGAGTCAAGTAAATTTGGTTGCGGAAGATGCTCCAGTATTTGTACATTGTAATCTGTATCGCTGTGATCGTTGTTATTGAAATGTAAATAGAAAGGAGTAAGGATTGTGTTGGTGAATTTGTTGAAATGTAGTTTGTGTTGATTAAATCTTTTTTTGAGTGTTTGAGAGGTTTGTCCAATGTATTGTAAGCCATGTTTGTTACAGGTAATGCAATATATAACGTTTCTAGTGTTGCAGTTGTAATTGATGTTGGGGTTTTGTTGTGCTTTTGTTTTGAATTTTTTGTTTGTAATTTTGCTAGTTATCCATATGCCGTTATTGATAAATTTGCAACAGTTACAGTTTTGTCTACATGGTGTTGTACGAATGTAATTCTGTTCGTGATGGGATGTAATTGGAGTGAAAATATGTTGACCATCATTATTTGTATGCACCTGATATCCTGTATTATAGTTTAGAGACGCTTCATCGCCCATTAGCCGGGGACCAGGAGAGGGCATCGGCGATAGCTGACCCTCTTCTGACGCCATTACGGTGGCGATCCTAGCATTAACGGTATTTTGGTTTGAAGACTTTTTCATGGTTGGTTTGTAGTAGGGTGCATCCGCCCCTGGTTAATTGTGTGCTTTTTGGTCTATAAAACAATTAACCGGTCCGGGGGTAAGCCTGTCCGATTTTAACTTAAATTATGAATAGTGGGTAGGAAAGAGATTAGGAAGTGGGCATTTATTGACACAATGGGGGTAAACGAGTATATATCGGGTTGATAATACAAGTTGATGTTTACTGACGGTTAATATACGAATTATAAATACTGCAGGTTGTGTCAGGAAGGAGTTGGTCATATTGGCTCGGC